ATTAAATATATATATATATAAATACACACACATACAGTATATATTTTGAAAATATATAAATATATTTAATATATAAACATAACATATTCTTCTTAAATATATACATATATGTGTGTGTATTTATATATGCATAATAAATACACAGTACACACAAAAATGTAAAATATATATATATATATATATATATGTATTTAAACATTTAAGTATAATAAATATATTTTTTTAAAACATCTTTAAAAATAACCAGTGCAAACATTTGAATTTGAAAAAAGAAATATGATAAAAATGACTATAAGATTCAATTTTAGTTAAATAAATAGATTTACATTCCAGTATCTATATGTAATGATAAAAAAAAAATACATAAAACAAATACTTAATTATATTTCAACATTTCAATATTTAAATACTATAATTCTATATTTTTAAAAAGTCTTTTAAAATAACATACACAGACATTTGACTTTAAAATAAGAAATATGATGATGACCGCAAGACTAATTAAGCTTGATTAGATTTTTAGTCAAAAAAGACATTTAAATATCTAAATATAACACTTAAAACATAAAAATAACTATAAAATATTTAACTACATTTAAACATTTAAATTAACATTTTAAAAATCCTTTTATATCACAAATATTTGACTTTAGTCAGATAAACAGACATTTAAATATATAAATATAATATTTTAAAATGAAACCATAATTATAAATATATTTAATTATATTTAAACTTTACAACAATATTTTATTACATTTAAACATTTCAAAACATAAATACATTTATTAAATTTAAACATTTCAAAACATAAATACAATAATTAAAAAAAATAAAAAAAAAAAAAACAAACACGAAGATTTTATTGAAATAAGAAATAAGATAAAATAAAATAAAGTTAAGATAAAAATTTTAATTAACATTTTAAAAATCACAAATATTTGACTTTAGTCAGATAAACAGACATTTAAATATATAAATATAATACTTTAAATTTTTTTAAGTCTTTAAAAATGAAAAACGAACATACGGTATGACTAAGAAATATGATAAAGATGACAACTGTAATTAAAACCAATTCAGATTTATTTGTTTTTTAATAAAATAATTTCATGTTTACGGCTGCGTTCAGAATTACTTCTTAGTATGTAGAGATATTGTGCATAATAAAAAAAAAACCATCATATATTCAGTAGGATGCTGTCTAAAATCATGGCAGTCCAATTATATAATGCGTCTAATATAAAATATTTTCCCAAATAATATACAAAATATATAATGTAATCTTATGAAAAAACATGAATCAATAATAAATCAGCAGTGCATTGATTCTGCGATGTGTTCAGTCCTGATGGATTCAGTATTAATTGCTGAAGACAGAAACACAGAATAATTAAACGCCCAAAACATTGGATTTTGCACATGTACTATTAGAGTGAAGAAATGATTATCAATGACTCAAGAAAAGCACATTTACTGTAATCAGCGTGAACACAGGATCAATAACACGCATCTAGAGCGTTCTACAGAGAGCCAATCATTCTAGAGCCATGTTCATAATTCATAAGCTGTCTCTCGCCCATCTCTCCGGGACATTTCTATTTTTACAGTTCATTTCATGTTGTTGTCACTGCTCTATTTTCACAGTGAAGTGAGCTGCAGATCTGTGCTCGTGTCACTTCTGCGCTGTTTGCTTCTCGTCTTCAGTCCGGTGAGTGTGTGAATAATAATAAAGACTGATTGACTGGAAACAGAGAGGCTTCTGGAGCTTAAATATCTGATGTCATGCTGTTCTCATCATCAGACACACACCGGCTCATACTGGAAAACAATAAAGAACAGGTAAATAAAGAACACACGCACGCACGCACACGCACACGCACACGCACACACACACACACACACACACACAAATACAACCCAGTGCTGGGTAAAATAGGGACAAACCCAGCAATTGGGTTGTTTTGACCCAGCGGTTGAGTTACTACCCAGAAGGTTGGGTTAAACATTTAACCCAACCGCTGGGTCAAAACAACCCAATTGCTGGGTGTGTCCCTATTTTACCCAGCACTGGGTTGTATTTAACCCAGCATTTTTTTAGAGTGTACCTTTCATATATACATATTTTTTTACTCTTTGCCAGAAACACGCGTCCATACTCCTCACTTCAAGCATCAAGCAGCACACTTTCAGACTTGGTGCATCATCAGTGACACCAAACATCTTTGGTTCTTGTGTGTTTTGTAACAAAATATCATGACACGGCGAGTCTGAACATGCGCGGACTGTCAGAGCTTAACAGATCTTAAATGCAGACTTCAGTGAACAGCTTCAGTGTTTGGGTCAAAAGAGCAGCAGAGAATAAACATCACATCTTCATTACAGCTTCATCTGCTTCCCATCATCGGCTCTAGAGGCACAAACATCTCCAGCAGATGAACACAAACTCATGTCGCCGTTTGTTACAGCATTCATCAGTGTGGCTGCTAATGTATTCAGTCAGTAAATTAATTTAGCTGCGCGTGTTTGCGGGATCGAAGCGATCAGAGAGATTGATTAAAGCGGTATAAGTGAGGGAATATTGATCACTGACAGTACAGATTAAAAAAGAGCAGATGACGGATGCGTATCGAGCGGAGGATGACTGGAAGTGCGTTTGAACACTCGTTTCTCACTTTAATGCAGGACCTGCAACTTTCACCGCAGCTGTAATGCAGATTATTATTGAGTGCTGATCTCAGAAACGAAACACGACCAATGAACACGGAAAAGCATGGTAACATAATGACTGAAAGACGGGAATAACCGCGGTAAATAACCGAGAAGGCCTTCAACTAACACGTTAAAATGGAATTTTATTGTAAAAACTTAGTGGTTCAAATCAGAGCTGCTATAGTTAAATAAAATTAAATATAAAAAAATTAAACGTAATTTTTAGCTAGCTAAGCAACAAAGCAACATTTCTCTAACTAAAACTGAAATAAAAATTTATAAAAATTATATAGACATATTTTTAAAAAAAATTACAAAAACTAATAAAAATGACAAAAGTACTAAAACTTTAACTGAAATGAACATGAAACCAGAATACATAAAAAATAAAATCTTTAAAATAACAAAAAATAAAATAGTATCTCAATTATACAATATTTTAATTTTATATCCATCCATATTTTTATACAAAAAGTAAAAAAAAAATGTATTCATTAAGGACGCATTAAATTGATCAAAAGTGACAGTAAAGATGTCAAATAAATGCAGCCTTGATGAGCAGAAGAGACTTCTTTCAGAAACATTAAAAAACAAATGGCAAGTTTGTGCCGCGCAAGATTAAAGATAAGCTTTAAAACACGACCGAGGGATTGAACGTGAGGAAACTTCACAGACACAATGGGTCTTAAAGGGACAGTACATCAGTTCACACACACGCAAAAAACACTGCAGAGTCATTCCTTTAAGAGTTATAAAGAGTCAGATCCTCATGGTATAGAGTTGCTGTTAAAATAGGGGAAAATATAAAACACTTGTTGGTTGGTTGGTATTTTAACATCATGCCAGCTTTTTGGGGTATTTAAAAATTTTATCAGGATTTGCTTTAAATAAAAACTCTCCTAAAAACTTTCCTCTGATTACAAAACCAGTGTGACTATTTCTTTAAGAAACACAAAAAGAAGATGCATCTGTAAGTTCACAGTAACTTGTTTTCCACCAAAAAACATTTTGGTTGTCAGTCAGCGAGCGGCTCGTGAGATGTGGGCCGTGGATTCAGTCATAATGAGGTTAACTCGCTCTTGCCCTTCATGTTTGGCCAGCTCAGCACAGATCCTCCAGCTGTTCCTCCTGCGGAAGAAATGATGAAACACACGGCTGGAGCTTGAGGAGTTCAGCTCGGAAATAAGAGCAGGACCTTCAGTTCCTCCAGCATTATCATATAATTGTCGACTATTCCCTTGAAATGGTAGTTGCGATTATTAATTACGATTACCACAATTTACATTGAATGATGTTTATACCATTGTTTGATGCAACTGCGTGCCGTATTTTTATATGAAAATAAACAAGCTGAAAAACCTTTAGTGCTTTTCTAAGCCTCAAATGTCAAGTATACATCGGATTGGTTTCTTCTTTAAATGATAAAAAAGTAAAAAATATAAATGGTATTATAGTGTTATACTAAAACTAAAATTAAAATAATGGG